CAAAAAAATTTTGAATTTTATTAAATATATTGCACGATATGAGTTTTGAAATAATTTGAGGGCCGAAGCCCATTTATCCCTCCATGCCACCCCTGGTAAGAATCTTAGAAGTTTAATCATGCAAAACATCCCTTAGGAATCTATTTTTTGGTCAATTGATGTCCCCATCCGCTTAAGGTCTAAATAATTCCCTACTTACTGGCTTTGCCTAAGTAGATAAGAGTTATATTACGGCTTTTCATGGTTAAACTTCTTAAACTTTTACCAGGCTACTGAAAAATGACTTAATAAATAACTTAATACACAAAATATATGTATATCCTACAATTATTCCCTAACTTAAAGAAGGCGTATTAATAACACCTAGTTAAAGGAAAACAATATCTAATACCTAATAAATATATATGTACAGTATGCAACATTTGAGGAATCAATAAAATTGGAATTAATAAAAAACTACACAACTTACCACTGTATTTTTATTCGTGATTTTCATGCTCTTCTTCTTCTTCTGGTTCTTTTAACTAATATTAACAGTCAACTCAAACTATCCAACTTTATGACTCATATCTGAAATCGCGTCAAATCAACGTTCATCACTATGTTCGTGCAACAATATCAAATTGGAATTTACGTAAAACTACACAACTTACCACTGTATTTTTATTCGTGATTTTCATGCTCTTTTTCTTCTTCTTGTTCTTTTAACTAATATTAACAATCAACTCAAATAACTATCCAACTTTATGACTCATATCTGAAATCGCGTCAAATCAAGGTTCATCACTATGTTCGTGCAACAATATCAGATGATTTGAAACTGGACATGGAAATAAATCCAAGTACACACACAAAAAACAAACAAATAATTAAGCGTCTTGAATATGAAGATCTGCTCTCGAAGATGTCTCGTAGAGGATGGCCTAGCACTAACCTATCATAGCTATAAAGCCTTTGTGAGCTACTGTAATAATATCTTAATTATCTTCCTAACTCTCTATCTGATAAAAAGAACCTGAAAATCCCTATTCTGTCCTAAAGCCTATGGCTAATCTATTCATGAGATAATATAGTTAAACTTGACCTAAAACTATATACTTAAAAAAAACCTAAACATTTTCAATCTGTTCTAAAAGCCTGTGGCTAACCTATTCATGAAAAAAATATAGTAAAATTTCACCTAAACCGATCTAATAAATAAACCTGAAAATCCCTAATCCGTTCTAAAAGCCAATGGCTAATTAATTTATGACAAGATAAAGTAAAATTTCACCTAACACTGTATGATAAAAAAAACCTAAAAATACCTGATCTAATAAAAATTATAAATAAAATGAATTTAGTTATCTGTGATAACTCTAACCATCCCAAACCTCTTTGTACTAACCTAAAACTAAACGAAGGGGATTTCTTCAGTAAAGCGAAGACTCAATCCGATAAATGATGGCAGAACACATAATGCACACAAAAGGAATATTCCTACCTTTGGTATGACAGAAACTCAAAACCTGCAAATAGCGAAGTCCAAGTGAGCAAATTTTGTGAGTTCAAGTCTGGCTTAAAGTTGTAATTCATTCTATGACGATCTTCTCCCCAAAGTTGACACCCACTTCAGTCGGAAAGATCTAAAACAGTTTCAAAGAAATGTTAAAATGAATCCTAACTAGACCGCCACTTATTTTAAATTACCTGTGTTTAATGATTCTAAACTTTTTGGTGGTCCCACAGTTATGGTTTGAATAGCCTTGTTATAGTATTAAAAACATAGTAAAATATAATTGACGCTTCCACCATGTTCCATGTTTAGATTTGTTTGGACTCAGCTGCCAACAGCTATCGCCAATCCATAGAGGAGGGTTTGATTCCAAAACTGTCCTTATTAAATGTTCTATCAATATGTTCCAACAGGATATAGTATTTACAGGGCCGTATTTGGAATTTATGAAGCCCCTCTATATTCTGACTCTTTGAATATTGGAGCTGAAGAGTTTAAAAATACACAAGGTAATTCAACTCGATGAATTTTCCTTTTGTTTCCAACAATCCTATCGGTAATAAGACATAGTAGTCTAGTTATTAGAGTCTATTAATTTGTAAATAATAATATTAGGGGCTTAGGTCGGAGCCAGACATTTTAATTTCTTTTGGGTTGAATAAAAAGTTTGGACCTTCAGGCATCGGATAAAAATTAGGCACCGTAGGTAGTTTTGGAAAAATTTGGAATAAGTTTATGCAAAATGTGTAATCACAACCAAATTGCAAGCGTCTTCTCGGTCACAGTAAAATCTTGGACATCCGCCGTGGTCACGGAGGAATCGTGAAGATCTCTACGTTCACGGAAAAAAAGTGAACATGATGCGCGATCGCGGATATTTTACACAATGTTGTGATATTTAGACTTTGTACAATACTCCCGAAATCGTGCATACACCATCTTCGTCTTCTGTGATCGCAGCAAAATAATCAATGTCTAATGTCTTCTTAAACACAGTGAACATCTTGCGCAATCCTGGAGACATTATCTTCGTCTTCTGCGATCACATCGAAATAATGAATATCTCCTATGGAGATGTTAACATCTTTTGCGAGTGGGGAAACATCATCTTCAACTCCTCCTATCGCGGCAAAATCCTAAACCACTTCTATGACCGAGGAGAAATGGTTAATATCTTGCGCAAGGGCAGAGACATCATCTGCATCTCCTTTGATCATGACGAAATCGTGATGATCTTCCTAGTTTGCGGGGTCACGATAAAATCATGGACATACTCCTGTGATAGCGGATGAATTAGGTGACGTCTCCTACATAATTGGCGAAATAGGGAAGATTGTTTGCTGTCGTGCAGATTTTATCAACATCTCCTGCAATGGCAGCAAAATAGATTAAATCTGTGAAATAAATTTATTTTAAAAATACATATTCGGGGCCCACAGTGAGGCCCCTTCCTTGGACGAGGCCCTGGAAACCGCCGTGTCTGCCGTTAGGGAAATACGGCCCTGAGTATTTATGTAATTTACCTTAAGATACCTTATAAAGTGTCTATGGATTTAACAACTAGTTATTTCTTTGTTTCAGATAGTAAATCAAGTGTATGATAGTTACCTCAAGGGACAAAAGTGTTCGAGTAGCCTGACGTGGGGCAGGATCCAGCTGCGTTAAATCTCATGTTACGTTTTTGATTGGCAGACACCAGCACACCACTGTGATATTCCTGCAACAAGGAACATCAAGGGGTTTAAAGGTTTAAACGGATTAACACAATTACAATTAATTATATACGTTTCTTGTGAAATCAACCAAGTCTAGAATATCTATCATTTGATCTTATTGAATTGTTAGTTTATTTTTCCAATTTATACATCGGTTTATTTACGTACAATTGCATGTTTACTGTTTTTTTCTTGTGTTTTTATCGGGTAAATGATCAGTTGCTCGGTAACTGTGGACGAGTGAGTGTGTGTTGTGCAATATATTAACAGTGGTTCTGTATCAAAAATAGTAAAACAATGAATCTGTTACGTGTTGTTGCAATGTGGTGCAGAATTAGGCAGCGTAGGATTGAGCGGAAGTACTGGATTCACCCAATTAATCAATTTATTAAAAAAACCTAATAATAACAAATAATAACTAAAAAATGTTTTTTTCCTTTACCCTCCAATTGTTCAAAATCCTCTCTCAGAGCAGAGCAAACTAGTTTCCACATTTCTTTCGTTTAATTTCTGTCCTTATAATAGTTTAAAGTTTTATCCCACAGTACTGGGTTTGCTTCCACTAATTAAATCAAAACATCATTGTCAATTATCACTTAAGTTGCTATTTTCGATCCACACGATTATTCATTTGATGCCATTGTCACTCACAACTGTCACTATTCACTTCAAAAAACAAACGCAGTATGCAAAGTGCACAGAGAGAAGGTGCAACGAGAACTAGGACTACTGGGGAGAACGCACGACATCCGACAAACAATTGTGGTGTGGGTGAACGCCCATTTAATCATGTACGCCCTTGCAAGCACGACAGTCGGGCGAGAGTCGCGGATCACAGTTTCAGTGGACAAATGCACCACGACAGAATGATATGGTTGTTATACTGTAGTACAGTGAGCAAGCGCTCATAAGATCCATTGGCTTAGTAATTGGAATGTGCAGGGCCGATATTAGGTGCGAAGCAATTCACTTTTTTGGGGGGCGGCAAAAAATTGTAAATAAAAAAAATAGTGATTGTATTTGCATGCGATTGTGGTAATCTTCTGATAATCCTCGCAGTCGTGTAGGCAAAATTCTCACTATTTTCCACGGCCGTGTAGACATCGTCTTCCATTATCATGGCAATATATGAAAAAATCCCGCCGTCTTGGGGAGATAATCATTGTCTACCAAATATGAGGCAAAATTCAGATCTTTTTCCCGCAGTTGTGTGGACATTACTATCGTCTTGCACGATAGCCGGGGAGGTCAAGTTCTGATCACCCATCGTCGCCGTGTAGAAATCATTATATCGTCGCCTACGGTCCTATGGACACGTGTGGACATATTAATTGCCTCCCGCGATTGCGACAAAATGGTAATCATCTCCCATGGTCATATGCAGATCATCATCGTCTTCAGCAAATGAGGCGAAATTCTTATCTTTTTCCCGCGACCATGTGGACATTATCGATTATCAACGTCTCTCTCAATCGCAGAAAAACAGATTAAATCAGTGAAATTAATTTATAAAAAAAAATAGATGGGCCCCATCTAGGCCAAGGTCCCCGCAACTCCCGTGTCCCCTGTTAGGGAAATACTGCCCTGAGTATTTATATGTAGTTTGGAATTTTGCTTTACCACTGACAAGATTCTTCTTGAACCTCATATGGGAAACAGATCAGCTCAATATAGCAAGAAACTTAAAAAGATTAAGAGACCTTTTAAAGTGGCTATGTTTTTAACAACTATTAATTTCTTTGATTTAAATAGTAAATCATTTGTAAGATAATTACCTTAAGGTACGAAACTGTTCAAGGAGCCTGACGTGGGGCAGAATTTACAGCTGAGTTAAATCCCATGCTACGCTTTTGGTACGATTGGCAGACAGCAGCACACCATGGTGATATTCCTGCAACAAGGCACATCAAGGGGTTAAAAGGATTAAAGGATTAACACAATTATTATGATGAAATATATATGTTTCTTGTAAAGTCAACAATGTCTAGAATTTAATTTATCTTCGATATATATAGAATTCACTGATTATTCTGGACAAACGCCAGTACTCAGTTAGGTCATTTAAATCTATAATGAGATCTATTTTATTAGTTAGTTTATTTTTCCAAATTATACATCGGTTTATTAACATACTTTTGCATCTTTACTGTTTAGTAACGCTGATCTGTAAATCCATTGTGTATCTTCATAGACTAAAATAATTAAATATAAACTGTCAGCCAAGCTGCGGTTACCATAGGTTATGGCACACGCCACTGGGAGCGCTGTGTAGTTACGTAGCATGTACGTCGTAACGTAAATCCATTGAGTATCGTATTCTTATCAATTTAAACATTTAGTTATGAGAAATATAAAAAAATACCTGCAAATGATAAAAAAGACAGCTGATGTTAACATCTTCTTGAAGCGGGAAGTTCATACTTGGAAGTAGTTGAATTACTTGCTGTGAGATTTTCTCAGGAAAGTTCACCCGCTACAATCGGAGAGATCTGAAACAGGATCAACGAACTATTTAAAGTAATCCTATCTTGACGAAAACTTACTTCTATTTACCTGTGTTGTGTGATGCAGCTTTAGTGGAATTGGTTAAAATCAACATTTGTCACTTCAAAAATTCCAAGCTCTTGAGGGAAAATTTCCAAATCCTAAAGGCACAGTTTAATAGTTGGCAGTTCTTTTTCTTAATTTTAAATATGGAATAGCTTGACCTAAAATCTTATTTGCTGACATCCATTTTTTTCCATTAAACCTGTAGTAAAATGGCTTGGATACTTTAAATATTCTATGAGTTGAGATCTCTGCCATCTACTTATACTAAGGTTGTATTACAGTAGAATCCCGCAAACTCGGCGTAATGTGGACTGGAAGGATGCTGAGTTTGTGAAATGCCAGGTTATCAGGAACTAGGCTTAAAAATAAGGACAATATAATTTTTAAGCTCTTTAACCTCCTTTTTTATATTACAAGTCAGTATTAAGTCATCAGATAACAAAAATATCCTTGGTACGAGTTGTGAATGATTTTACTTGAGCTGGCTTGAGTCCATGTTTAACTCGGACTCAAAATATTACTAAATTTCTGAGCCAGGTGATGGCCGAGTTATCCAGACTGCCGGGTTATCGAGTGCCGAGTTTGTGGGACTACTGTATTATTGTATTATTGTTTCTATTTGGTAGAGTAGATAAGATACTTACTTAGGTAGTCGAATACAGCTCTGGCGATGCCTTTATGGAAGCTAGCAGGATGAAGAGAAGAAAAGTAAGGAAATCATGTCAGTGGGTTGGAATAAGGTTTAAGGGATACTTTGGATAAAGGACACCCGTGGTAGGGAGAGGAGGTCCAGACACAATTATTTTCATCTACCTCTTCTCTCTACCCACAAGCGCTCCCTCGGCCATGTTCAGGGGGAGGGCCTCTTGTTTCTACCACATAATATTACCGTACTGTGGTAGGGCCAAAACACAAGCTTAAGGTGTGAATTACTAATCAAAAACTGTTTTCAAAACTCCAAAAAAATTTTGAATTTTATCAAATATATCTTACGATATGAGTTTTGAAATAATTTAGGGCCGAAGCCCATTTATCCCTCCTTGCCACCCCTGGTAAGAATCTAAGAAGTTTAATCATGCAAAACCTTACAAAGGAATCTATTTTATATCTATTTTTTGGTCAATTGATGTCCCCATCTGCTGAAGGCATAAATAATTCCCTATTTACTGGCTTTGCCTAAGTAGATAAGAGTTATATAATGGCTTTTCATGGTTAAACTTCTTAAACTTTTACCAGGCTACTGAAAAATGACTAAATAAATAACTTAATACAAAATATATGTATATCCTACAATTATTCCCTAACTTAAAGAAGGCGTATTAATAACACCTAGTTAAAGGAAAACAATATCTAATAATAAAAATATATGTACAGTATGCAACATTTGAGGAATCAATAAAATTGGAATTTACGAAAAACTACGTAACTTACCACTATTTTTTTTTTTATTTGTGATTTCCTTAATCTTCTTCTTCTTCTTCTGGTTCTTTAAACTAACATTAACAATCAACCCAAACTATCCAACTTTATGGCTCATATCTGAAATCGCGTCAAATCAACTTTCATCACTATGTTCGTGGAACAATATCAGATGATTTGAAACTGGACATGGAAACAAATATAAGTACACACACACACACACAAAACAAACAAACAATTAAGAGTCTTGAATTTGAAGATCTGCTCTCGAAGATGTCTCGTAGAGGATGGCCTGGCACTAACCTATCATAGCTATGAAGTGTTTTTGAGCTACTGTAATAATATCTTAATAATCTTTCTAACTCTATACCTGATAAAAAGAACCTGAAAATCCCTGATCTGTTGTAAAGCCTATGGCTAATCTGTTCATGAAAAGATATAGAAAACTTTACCTAACACTGTATGGTAAAAAAAACCTAAACATTTTCAATCCGTTCTAAAGCCTATGGCTAACCTATTCATGAAAAAATATAGTAAAATTTCACCTAACACTATCTAATAAAAAGAACCTGAAAATCCCTAATCTGTTCTAAAAGCTTGTGGCTAACCTATTTAAAAAATAGTAAAATTTCACCTAACACTATCTAATTAAAAAAACCTGAAAAATCCCTGATCTAATAAAAATTATAAATAAAATTAACTTAGTTATCTGTGATAACTCTAACCATCCCTAACCTCTTTGTAATAACCTAAAACTAAACGACGGGGATTTCTTCAGTGAAGTGAAGACTCAATCCGATGAATGATGGCAGAACATATAATGCACACAAAAGGAAAGTTCCTACCTTTGGTACGACAGCAACTCGAACCCTGTAATAGCAAAGACCAAGTGAGCAAACATCATCTAAAAATTAAATTTTGTGAGTTTATAATTACAAAGATATTCCAATATTGCCTTTTAAATTATATCTATTTAGTATCTATTTATATACTAAACTGAAATGTTGTATATTGTATACATTGTAATTATTATAAATTACATGTATTTACACTTTAATGCAAAATGCATGAAATAAAATCCGATGAAACCAAAAGGTTGGTTTAAATTTAATGAAAGATTATTACTTTGTTCGTAGATAAAGTCTCCATCGAACTGACGTCCCAGTAAAGCAGGCTAGTTCAAATAAGACACCTGAGGCCGTATTACTTGCGTTTTTTTAAATATCTTTCATCCAATTGACTTTTATCAAACCATTTTACATATTTAGTTACAAGAAATATAAAAAAATTACCTCTAATTCTTACAGAAGACACCTGATGTCAACATCTAGGTATAGGAAGTTCATGTGTGATCCTCTTGAAAGATTTAACGCGCACGAAAAGTCGGAAAGATCTAAAACAGAATTAAAGAATTATTAACATGTATCCTAACTTGACCGGCATACACTTCTAATTACTAGTGTTAAATGATTCTACTATTTTTGGTGGTCCCACTGTTATAAGATTATTAGTCATGTATATCCTGTATTTGTTTGGTATTCAAAAAAATAGTTTCAAAAATTGACAATTTCAAAATGTTCTGTGATTAGGTTTGTTTGGTCTCAGTGGTCAACAGCTATTGATATCAGTCACTGATCCATAGAGGAGGGCACGACATTCTTACCTGTTTAAAACTAAATGTTCTATCCATATCGTCTAACAGGTTATAGTCTTTATGTAGTTTCGAATTTCACTCCACCACTGAAAGAGTTTCCTTGAATTTTATGTGGGAAACAGATCAGCTCAATATGGAAAAAATGTTAAAAATGCTTAAGAGACCTTTTACAGAGTCCATGTATGTAACAATTGATTTCTTTGTTTCAATTAGGATATTCACCTTTGAGATCAAGGAGCCAGACTTGGTCCAAAACTACTTGTTGTTGTGGACTTGTTTGGTCTATAGTCCAAAACTATAGACTAAACAGTATCAAATAATTAGTAAAAGATACCTATCACAAATTGACAGGCACTTGCTTTCAATCGCCTGTGTGGAACGATGCAATCTGTTTTATGTTGTAGGCAGTTAAATGTGGAGAGCGTTTTAGTGAATAGTGACTAAGAATGGGGAATTTGGTTTTCACCTAAAACCTTTTTCATTGACATCCATGGTGGTAAATCTTCTTTCACAACATTTTGAATACTATGGAAACTTAAAGCTTTGCTTTGAACGGAAAAGAAAGACATTTTTATTTAAGTAAAGTTGGTTAAATCAAGGATGTCTTTGAACCTTGTTTGAGAAACAGATCAGCTCAATGGGGCAAGTGGGCAAGAACCTATCTACCAAATAAGCTGATGACTTATTAATTATGTAGCTTAAGAAACCTTTTACAGTGTCAATGTACCTAACAGCTGTTGATTTGTTTGTTTCTATTAGGATACGGTATCAAACGTTTGCTACTCACCTGGCACCAAAGTGCTGAAGGAGATGGACGTAGTGAAGGCTACAGTTGCGTTGATTGACAGACACCACAGTGATATGCCTGCAACAATGCACGTCCAGAGGTTAGACAAACAGCACACTTACTTTTATACTACAATGTTGATTATTAGTTTATCTTTATGACTGATTTGTAATATACAAATAATTTTAAATATCAGCTTTTTTAATAAGTGGTTCAATAATTCAGTCTACAGTATTACTATAGGTTGGCCGCTTGTAAAGCGTCCTCCTCATAGCATTGGTGGGAAAGAGAGATACCGAGCTATGGGAGTGAGACAGACTATGGGCCTTCCCCCAATATGCTGCCGCTCCACCCCCAACCTTTTATAAATACGAGAGGTCGTCCAGTGGTCGAAACTCGACCAAAAATACGTAATGTACTCACTTATCTATTTTCACCCCACACTGTAAATAAAACATGTGATTTGAGTTTCTTCCATTTGTTTTGGTTTTCTGTTTATATTTCGTTGTTATTTTCGTTACCAGCATGGCAACGCATAAGATCCATGTTAATATTTTCAAATTTTTAAACTCATTTTTTGTGCTTATCTTTGAGCCTATTTAAATTTATAAAGGGATTCTGCACACCTACAGGAAAATAGTTTTCTAACGGTATGCGTAGATTTTCCCTACGATGAACACGAGCTGAGAAAAAAGGTTTTAAAGAAACATGCTTGCCTATTAATATATAGATAGATTATCAGCTATTAAATTATCCAACTGATCAAAATGTAAACAATTACGTTCTTTATAACTTGAGAATGATTGGTCCTGCAAAAAATATTGTATAGCCTAAATCGCATCAATATTTGAGCATCATGAAATGTTATTATATCATTGTCTAAACAGTCCCATTTGGTAACAAATGATTCCAACTCCCACAACACCGGGGCAGCACCGTGTCGGTGTCCTACCGCGGTGTCATGTCGTGCAGTGTGAAAACGGACATTGGCGGAGAGGGGAAACATACCCTCCCTCGCCGTTACCTAAAAATTTTGCGCAGGTTGTTTTCTAAGCGGCCGACCTATATTATGTTATTGTACATTATACTGTTGATATGTTGAACTATTAACAGGAATGAAACAATAAGCTATAATTTGCTGATTTTGCAACAGTATGACCAAAAGTATACTGTATTATGTTTTAGAAAGAAGGAAACTCCTCATGTTTTAGCTCAAGAAACCTTTTACAGTGTCAGTCTTTGAAAAACCATTGATTAATTTGTTTCTATTAGTTTATCAAACATAGGATATTCACCTGCGACTTAAGTGTTGGAGGAGGTTGACGTAGTGCAGGCTACAGTTGCGTTACTTCCCTCGATAAACTTTTGCTACGATTGACTGTCACTTCAGTGATATGACTGCAACAGGGAATGTCAAAATGTTAGACGTACAACATACTTACTATTAAATAATTATACTACTATTAATGCTATTACTTTAATTCAAATGGCTCTGCCGTTGGTATCTAAATTCTGATCGGGCTTTCGGGCTCCGCCCCAGTGGCTCTGGAGTTTCCCATGTTAACCTTATGATTTTTCATATTTAAAAGGAATTTCTTAACAGCTGTTTCAATTAAACAAGTTGGTTCTGTTCTATGATGTTCAATAGCATTAAAGTTACAAGGATTACCAACAGGGTGCAGCACTATTATTTTTTTAAATTTATGACAACTGCTAATTTGCAACCAAAAGGTGAGTGAGCGTAGCGAACGAACTTCAACCTGGAGACGAGTTAGCGTAGCGAACGAGCTAACCTGAAGGCAAGTGAGCGCAGCGAACGAGCTCCAACCTAAAGGTGAGTGAGCGTAGCGAACGAACTTCAACCAGGACGTGATTTTGCCATGCGAATACTTATGAAGTTAAACGGGGCAAAGCCCGCGGGTACAGCTAGTGTACATATAAATAAATAAATAAATTCTTTGATATCAAACCAAACAAGTCTAGAGTGTCCTTTCTCTTGTTGTTGAAAAAAAGTACAAAAACATT